CTACTCGGACAAAATGCTGGCAAGAGGATTGGTGTTCGTTTCAGCTGTTTTGAGGGCAGATGCTTCTGCTACGTCCATCCAGTGGGCCGTGAAAGAGCAGTTCTCCAGCAGCGAATGCACTATGAACAACTTGACCCTTTGGCAGGCAAGTATGTGAGTCGTGTGGAGTGAAGGGCTTTAGTTTGACCTTTAGGCTGTGCTTTTTGTGGTCAATCAAGGACCGAACACACCGTGCTGGGGCGCATCGGAACAGTAGCCATGGGCCTCGGTTGTGGAGGTGCCAATGGCGCTGCCGGGAAAAACTACGTTGTCGAGGGTACGGAACTGATGGAATATACACACTACAATGTTTCAGCCGAATGCTCCGATACAGCCAACGCCAACACAACCACGACGCTGGACCAGTGCGTGGAATCTAGCACAGGTGTGTACGAGAAGGTGAAGTTGGTGACAGCTCCTGGGACCCTCACGATCATCTACGATGTGGGCGATGAGAACTGTTCTGGTGCACCCATCTCTACTTCCCTGAGTCCTATGCTCTGCGTTGCCTCGAATGCCGTCGCCGGATTCCTCAGCCGGTTGCCGTCGTGTTACGGAGAGAAGCAGCTCCAGTGCTACTACAGCAACAGCGACTGTACCGGCAGCCAGATGTGCTCCCCCTCCAGCGATTTGAAGTCGTGCTCTGCATCCGGCGGAGGGCGATATACGATGACCTCTGTTCTTGGCTCCGACGATGAAGTTGCAGAGTTGTGCACTACCACCACAACGACCGCATTTGCAGGGATTTCAGGGAACATCAGCATCTACACGGACGGCGGCTGTTCAGTGCTTGATGGGACACACTCCATCGAGCTGGGTCCCTGCACAATGACCGGCTCGACCAGCTCGCAAGACTTCACTTGCATGGAAGGGTCCATCGCTTACAATGTGTACAGCACGAATGACTGCACTGGTGAGGCAACGACGCAGGTCCTTGAGCAGGGCCCCTGCATCCCAATGGACAATGGCACGTCATCTTGGCTCGTTGCTTTCCCCGAATGCACCGGAACCGCAAGCTCGTCAGCAGCAGTGCACTTGAATGTTGGATTCATGATTCTCAGCTTGCTGACTTGCCGCTACCTCTGCTGAGATAGACAGTTTTCTTGCGCCAGGGAGCCCGGCGTCATGTTTTTTTCTTGTGTGCTCAACTCCAGACGACCAGAACAGGTGACTCAAGCAACACGTTGAAGTCACGCATTTGTCAATTCGTTGCAAGCCCAACGTGCCCGCTAAATGCGTTGCTGTACAGCTCAGAAGCTTCAGCTTCTTACAAGTGCCAAGGCGAGGATGCAGCAAGAAGCGCATCCTGACAAGTGTCGAGGCATAGAGACGATGGAACGAAAGAAGTCCCCGCTCTCCCAAAATCACAAGACCAAGAGACCTCTAAACCGTAAACCGGCTTCGCACGCCAAGTTACATTGCAATTTGCTTTGTGCCTTCCAAGGTGGGGGCATCCGTGCCGCTGGGTTTGAGGACATTGGCAGGCTGGCCTGCGGCTTGCGCCAGTGTAAGAGCGGCAGAACCCTAAACCCTAAACTCTATAAACCCTAAACCCTGAATCCTAAACCCTAAACTCCCTAAACTCGCTAAACTCGCTAAACCCTAAACCCTAAACCCTGCCGGCCTGTTCCTTTCGGTTGAGGCTCTCCTCCGCCTTGCCTTCCCGCGGAGTGCCTGGCGGCTGTCTCCGGGGGCAGCGGCTGCCTCGTCCCAAGCTTCCCCAGAGACTCCCAAACCCCTTTCTTTGAGGAATATATATACCGTAAGTGTGATTAGGGGTCCTACTCTAATTTAAGGTATATTCCTTCATTCAGGAATATATACCCTAAACCTTATTGGTGTTCCTATTGTTATAGTTTAAGGTAGAATTCCTTAACTTAAGGGGGTTTTGGAGTCCCGAGCTTCGGATCCCTTCTAAAAGGGGCCCGGGCCAGGAGTGGCAGCACCGCTCGTTTCCCGTGTTTCTCTGAAGTTGAGACCCCGAAACCCTACGCCCTAAAGCCCTAAACCCTAAACTCTAAGCCCTGTAGGGTTTAGGGTTTAGGGTTTAGGGCTGAAGCCCTAAGCCCTAAACCCCTAAACGCCTGAACCCTGTACTTTGCCATTACCGGCATGCTTCCGGCCCGGAAAGCTGATCTCGACCCTGAACTTCGTCTGAGGTATCTCGGACGGCGTGTTCCTGCTCCTGACGCTTACCAGGGTTTAGGGTCTAGGGTTTAGGGTTTAGGGTTTAGAGTGAGTGCCGAAGTTTTGAAAGCTCGAAACCTCCTAGGCAGTATTAGGGAGACCCCTTTAAAGGGGACCCTTCTACACCCTACTTCTGGCTCTCTTAAAAGGGACCTTACTGAGAGGGTCTATATCCCCAAGGGTCCCCCTAATCCTAACGCCCCTAAACCTACACCCGAAATCCGGAAGCAGTATCAAGCCTCTTTGCCGGGTGCCCGACAGAATCGTCTGCTTCACCTCACACTTGGGAAGGTTTTCATGAGTAGTGTAGTAAGACCTTAAACCACTTTAGCAAGACAATAGCTAGTAGCAGTGCCTCCTTGTAGTCCCCATATAACCATATAGTGTACAGACTTCTAGCAGAACCTCATTCCAACCCATATCAATTCCCCTGTTTTACTCTACTGTACTGTACCCTACTATCCTATTCTATCCTAGCCTATGCTGTGCTGTCTTGTCCTCTACTCTACTGTACCATGCCATGCTATGCTGTCCTGTGCTCTACTGTACTGTACTGTACTTTGCTATGCTGTGCTGTGCTCGGCTGATTGATAATTGCTTGCCTGTCTTACACTCTCCTGCTTCAACCCTAAACCCTAAACCTGAACCAAAAAAACCTTAAACTCTAAACCCTAAACCCTAAACCTTAAACCCTAAACCCTAAAACCTTAAACCCCAAACCCTAAACCCCGCAGCACCCCAAACCCTGGAGCCCCAAACCCTGGAGCCCTAAACCCTAAACCCTACAAACCCTAAAGGCCGGCTCCCCCCGTTCCCTCTGCAGCGCCATCTCCATCCCTAAACCCTATAAAACTCCAAACCCTCTAGACTCTAAGCCCCAAGCCCCCAAAAGGGTTAGGGTTTAGGGTTTATGGTTTAGGGCTCCCTAAAACCCAAACCACCAAACCCCAAACCTCAAAAACCCCAAACCCCAAAACCCTAAACCCTTATACATCCCTTATAGATCCCGTATAGATCCCTTTAAAGGAAGCCCAAAGCCCTGTCGAGTCTAAAGCCAAGAGCCTTTCAGATGATACCTGGCCTCGACTCGTGAACGTTCTGAGCGGCGAAAAGTGGCCATGTCTCCTACCGCTCACGTTTAGGGCCTTTAGGGATTTAGGGTTTTAGGGGTTTAGGGTTTAGGGGTTTAGGGGTTTAAGGGTTTTGGGGTTTAGGGGTTTAGGGTTTTGGGGTTTCACGTCCTAGATCCCTAAACCCTGAACGTGACGTGAAATTCTTCTTGCCACCGAAAGCTGCAAGCCCAAACCCTAAACCCTGAGCCCTGAACCCTAAACCCTAAGCCGTAAACCCAGAATCCTAGGCCCTAACACCCTCCGATCCGGATCGTAACCCCCCCACAAGAAGCGCCGAAGGCTACGAAATCCAAAACCCGGAGGTACCCCGTAGGCCCCCTGCTGTCCCTTCTTAGGGTTTAGGTTTTAGGATTTCGGTTTTGGGGTTTGCGGTAGGGTTTAGGATTTAGGTTTTGGGGTCAGGGTTTAGGTTTTAGGGTTTAGGGTCTGTGTAATCTACACCAAGGTCCTGAGGCCCCTCTATCCAAGCCTTTGGAAAATTTAGGGTTTAGGGTTTAGGGTCTAGGGTTTAGGGTTTAGGATTTAGGGTTTAGGGTTTAGGGTTTAGGGTATCGATCAAACTTTACAAATCCATATCAGGACCCGATACAGAGCTACAAAACCTGCTAGTTTCAGACTGCTGAAGCAAGAGTACAGTACATCCACCATAAGATATTACACTATACACTAAGGCTATCTATATCTTACACAACCCTAAACCTGTATCCTTAAACCCCTAAACCCTTAACCCCTTAAACCCCTTAAACCCCTAAAACCCTAAAGCCCTAAACCCCTAAACCCCTAATCCCTAAACTAACCCTAAACTCCTAAACCCTAAACCCCTAAGCCCTAAACTCCTAAACCCTAAACCTAAACTCCTAAACCCTAAACCTAAACTCCTAAACCCGCAAGCCCTATAACCCTAAACCCTTAAACCCTAAACCCTACGCTCCTAAACCCTAACCCCTAAACCCTTATAGATCCCTTTTAGATCCCTACAAAACTCCCAGCCCCAAAGCGCAGGTCGACATCGAGGCGCTAGGCCAGGCGCTGCAGGTCGTCGAGCAGAAGAACCTGGAGTACATGAACAGGATCCACAAACAGGAGCGAGGGCTTAAGGTTCATAGGGCTTAAGGATTTAGGGTTTAGGGAGTTTAGGGTTTAGGGTTTATGGTTGTAGGGAGTTTCGGGTTTAGGGTTAGGGCTATAGGATCCACAAACAGGAGCCAGGGCTTGGGGGTTTTCGGCTTATAGAGGGTTTAGGGATATTCATCCACAAACAGGAGCCAGGGCTTAGGGCTTTAGGGCTTAAGGATTCACGGTTTTTGGTCTTAAGGGTTTACGGATCCACAAACAGGAGCCAGGGCTTAGGGAGTTAGGGTTTAGGGATATAGGGAGGGTTTAGGGTTGGAGTATATGAACAGGATCCACAAACAGGAGCTGGGGCTTATAGAGTTTTAGGGTTTAGGGATATAGGGATTAAGGGTTTAGGGTTTTGGGGCTTAGGGTTGGAGTACATGAACCCTAAGCCCTAAACCCTAAGCAAACATTAACAACAACGAGAGCGTTATTCGATTCTACACCGGCCACGGTCTCGAAAGCGTCCGAATCCAGGAAACTCGCGAACAGCAGCTCAAGGGCGAGAACTCCACGCTGCAGGAAGAGGCCCGCAGAGCGTCCAGCGAGCTCAGCCATGTTTCCAGGGCTAAGGGTGTTAGGGTTTAGGGTTTTAGGGTTTTAGGGTTTTGGGGGTTTTAGCGTTTATTTTTTTGATTATATTATAATACCCCAAAGCCTTGTTCCATTGATCAAGGCACCTATACTAAACCCTTCTAGCAACCCATATAGAACCTCAAGGGAACCCATTGAGGAAATGTCACAGCAAGCCCGGCTTCAGCTTTGCAAGTGCTGGTTTCTGCTAGAAGCGTCCCCGTTCCATCCGTTCCCTGCCGAGCACAGGTGGAATCCATCCGCTCCGAGATAGGCCCGCATCGCTTTCGGGGTTTAGGGGGTTGTCTGTTCGGGTTTCAGGAGTTTAGAGTCGAGACTTCAGGGTGTTGGGGTTGGGTGTTTAGTAGTTATATAGGGTTCCGTTAAAGGGATCTCTAAGGGTTCCTTTAACGGGTACTAACTTGTTTGCAGCTTGACGGTTCACGCAAGCAGTGCAGCGATTTCGATTCAACCCGCCACCCTTGATAGACCAGTGTATAACAACATAGCGACCCTAAACTACAGCAGCTGTATAAGCAACATAGGGGCCTGAAGTAACTGTGAGTACAGTTCCTTAGGGCTACAACTACTGTATACAGTAAACCTTGGGTACTGTGCCCCCACACAGGAACAGTCTATAGTAGGGCTACTATTCAGGGCCTTATAGATCCATATTATGAATATTACTCAACTGTTACTTAAACTCTAAACCCAAAACCCCTAAACCCTAAACCCCTAAACCCCTAAACCACTAAACCCTAAACCCCTAAACCCCTAAACCCTAAACCCAAAGTAAACCCACCTCAGACCCTGGTCTGCGTACTTGGGCCCCATATGGGTAGTTCTCTAAAGTAGGGTCCCTTTTGGGGGGTCCTTTTTTTTTAAAGGGTGCCGTACTTTGTTGGGGACCTAAAAAGGGACAGAATGTAGAGAACTACCCATATTCGTATCGTTGGAGGGTTCTGAAAAATTCCGTTTGTAAGCTTAGTGTGTTCGGGCTTGACAGAGGTTCTTAAAAGGATCTATAAGGGGTCTATCAAGTTCTATACGGGTTCTAGAACAGGGATCATAATAGGACCG